CCAGGTCGAGGCTGCGGTGGCCGGGAGCGGCCACTGCACTCCAGTCTGGGCGACAGAGTGAGACTCCAACTCAAAAAAATAAAAATAAATGTCATCTTGTAAACACATAAAATACATTCTTGTTCTCCTAAGCATTGCAGTTTTTCCTTCAGACATATTTAATGACAGAGGCTTAGTGATATAAATCAAGCTGCACTAAGAAAAATCAGAAAACGTGTTTGTTTCTTGCTTGCTTGCTTGCTTACTTGCTTGCTTGTCTTTACTTGTCAGGTGAAACAGAGAATGGTAAATAGAGGTCCAGATCTGAGCTTTGAATGACATTAGAAATGACTTGGAAGAGAAAGTGTAAAACAACTTTCATTTGTTCCTCCATGTATTCATTGTATTTCATTCCACTGACCATATACTAGGTATTGTGCAGGGTGCAGAACACCAAGATCAAAGTAGCCTTGGCCTTGTTCCCAGAAAGCTCATGATCTGATTCAGCAGTACTGACCCCAAAGCAGTGAAGTGGACTGCGCTATAGTTCATTCAGGGCAGCACATGGGTGGTGCCGATTGCCAGGGCTCTAATTGCTCAGTGGAATGGGAGATTCCCATGCTGAGAAGCAGAACCACAGGCTTCACTGAGGAATCAGGCCTTCGATTGGGCCTGAGTAGACAGCAGCATCTCACGGGGAATGCCCCAGTGCTAGCATAATAGAAGTAAAATCAAGTGAAATTATATCGAATGTGCATCCTTTGGGTTAAAATCTTTCCCTCTCTTATCAAAACATATTTATTTGCATTTAAAGTTCAAGCTTGATAGACTTTTGGGTTTTTTGTTTGTTTTATTTAGTTTTGGGTTTTTTTTTTAAACCAAAAAGTTCAATTTTATTCTAAAATATATGAAAACATTTTGGTACTATTAAGTTCCGAATAGACCGTGAGAATTCAGTGCTCACATCTGTATGTTATCACAGTGTTTTGGCTTGTTCACATCCCTGTGTCTGTCCACACCCTCCTCTAGGACTAGCCACACCTCTGCTGGCCATCTAGTCTTATCACCTCTGAGTCTGGACTCTCTTTTGAAAATCACTGCAGCCTTGGCTTAGGCATTCAAGTTTGCTAACAATTCACTTCTTTCTAATGAATCACTATCTACATTGTGGCCATTGGAGAGGTGTCTGGAGAATGGCAGGTGGTTCATAGTAGCTGAAATATGGGATGAACAAGGAAGAATTACTCTGAGTAATTCTGAGCTAGTTAAGTAGGTGAGAACTAGCTCATCAGGGGCCACACAAAGGATCTTAGATACTTCCTATTGAGTGATGAGAAGGGCCTAACAGAATTTTAAGTGATTAATGACAATGCCAGAAATTGGAAATATTACTGCATATTTATGTATACTAGAAAGATTACTCTGGTACAGTATGGAGGGTGGGTGGAATTAAGGCAAGACTTGTTAGGTAGACTGTTACGATATTCAAGATAATTTAAGAATAGCTTATCATATTTGAGATAATATTCCTGAACTTGAGAAGTGACAACATTGGTAGAAGGAGGGAATGCATTTCAAAGACACTGAGGCAGAAGAATCAGCATGGCTTGGAGATTAACTGAATGTCAGAGAGGGACAAGAAGATAGAATCAAGACAAGTCCAGGGCTTTTACTTGAATAACTGGGTATATGATAGTTGTTTTCCTCAAGGAGGGAATACAAGAAGAACTGATTTACTGGAGATATATAATATTGGAATTTTGTGTGGAGATTGAGGTATCTGTGGAATATCCTACAGGCAATTAGATATTTAGAGCTAGAGTTCAGGAGACAAGTCTGGGCTAGAGAGAAAGATGGAGATACCTCAGTATATCATTAAAGTTACAGATGCTGATGAATTGTGTTTTCATTCAGAATAAAAGAGAATCCGCAGTGCTAGCACTGTCATAGAGAACATTACTATTTAAAGGAGGAGGCTAAGAAAGAGGATACTTTGATGAGGACTTGAGGAAGCAGCCAGAGGATTTAGGAGCAATGACCATTAAGACCAAAGGTAGAATTTTGATAGTGTAAAGAAGGAAGAGATTAATAACATCAAATTTAGCAAACAACATATGGACTGAAAGTCAACCTTATAATTGGGCAGTCATCTCAGCATGTTCATATCATGAGCAGAAGGAACCAGCAGATAAGGAGGTATTGAAGGTGGGAAACAATTAGCTGATCAGCCCTGGTTGGCCAACTCATTCTCACCGTCCCTCTTTTAGTGCAGCACGTACAATTGAGCAAGTTCTAAATAACTTGAGTATGTTGAGACCATTTTTCTCTATGTTCTGGATAGGTCTTAAAATTAGTACAAGTTTACATTATAGTGTGATCGTAGGTAGCCAAACAACATCTTTGGTCCATAATCAAGTATCATCAGTTAAATCCCCAGATATTTTTCTCATAATCTGTTATCAAGCCAGGTCTCCCCCTTACCCTAGAGAAGGAGAAAAAAAGACTGAGTTTAAATAACTTCTTTAAGTAATCTAACAATCTCAAAGCTTACATTTTATTTGATATAAGACCTAGTTGATATATGTCTAATGATTAAGATGCTGCTTTCTAATAAAACTTTAAATATATCAACTCTTATCCTTTTAGAAGGCACATAGCACATAAAATATATGAAATTAGCATTTTTCACTACATGCCCAGTAGAAATTGTTACCTGCCTTGAGCAAGTAACAATTTGCAAGGCTGGACAGTCTAAGGAATTTCTCTTCTAAAGTAATGGTAATTCCCTGATCTATATGTACACAAACTCATATATAATTCTTTTTTTACCCCATGAAACTGAAATAAACTTTACATCTGAGAGGCAGCATAAATTTTAAACTCAAGCCTTTAGGACAGAACATTTTATGTGGCATCTATCCCTTACAAAATGACTTTATTTCCATCAGCTATAATTTCATGTCCCGTTTCATGTAGTACTCTGAACACCAAAATCAAATAGTATATAATAAGACTAAAGCAACCTCAGCACCCCAGAGTACCATAATAATAAAAGATTCAACTCAACTTGAGTCTGTCTTCACTTCAATATATTGCACTTTATCACTGTTACCAGTTTGATTCTTCACCCCAGAAATTGTGCTCAACTTGTGCTAAATTAAGTGGGAGTTGGGCTCATACAAATGTGAGCAACAGAATATGACCCATCTATTTCAGCTAAAATTACTGTATTTCATTAAATAAAGATACCATCAATTGTTAGATGCACCATCATTTTGTGCGTTACTGAGAAAGAAAAAAAAAAACCTCTACTGTCAATTGAACTGACACAGTGCTTCAGAGGTGCTAAAATGTGCATCTGAGAATCAAGAAAATGTGGTGTGTATAAGAATGTAAGTAAAAATTGTCTTAAGGCACATAGTAGCATAATTTAAAATCCCAGTCATAGTATCTGTCATCCCTCCTGTCCACAGCATTTCACATACCCCAAATAAATATTCTGTGATGGGATGAAAGTCTCTATTATATTTGTTCATGAATTTCACAGTTCCCTGATTCTTGGCCAAATTTGTTGTGTATAAAGATATTCTCCACAGAATTCTTTACATTTTTTTAGCATTCCAGCAACTTTAAATTGCTGTCATTTTGAACATAATTTGGCAATATTTATTAAAAGACTTTTAAAAAGTTTTTACCAC